TTTTAAAACTATACTTGAACATAAAATGAGGAATGAACCAAGACTTTTGATTAAAAAAATATAATAGTCCATTGCCAAAATTGAATATTTGAAAAGTTTAAGGTGAGCCGAGGAGAAAAAAAAATTCTGATAAAACTACAGGAAATTATTGTACGTCATGATATATCCTTCGAAAAGATGAGACACACATTGTGACTAGGTTTTATCTCCTCCTTTCCTCCCTTTCTTAATCACTTCCTGTGTTTCTAAGCATACTTACCACACCTGTTTCATTAAATGATCTAAATCAGACCAATGAAGCAGATTCTGCTGTATTTGGCTATTTTAGCTGATGTGCCTGGAGAGTTATGTTTTTAGACTCTAATAATTCATATTTTAATACCTGACATGCTGAAAGCAGCAGACATCCGCTTTGGGCTTGTAATGTTTCTAGTTCCTTTTTAAGGGTGTAGGGGAGTTTCCTTTTAAGATGACGAACCTGGGACTTCTAAAGAAGTTTAGTAACTGCTGGCTGTTTAACACTGGTAACGTATTTTTGTGACGTAAATTCTCACTCATAACATAACTATCCATTTTTTACTATTAGAATTGTAATATTCAGATTTCTAACATTATTCTGATTATGTTTCTAACACATATATGAACTATAGAAGCTTAACTGCTGCCATCTGAGTGGTTTATAACTGAATTTCTATAAAGGTTACTTGACATCTTTTAAACAGAGTTGCCTTTAACAGAGCTGGTGAATGCTTTAAAATCTTTTCCTTCATCTTAAAGAAAAATTCTAGTCCAGCAGCTGGCAATGACAGAACATGCATGTCAGAAAACAGATGAGCTCTGCAGGGGAAAAAAAAAGCCAAATATTAACTATATAAGTATAGCAATATCACTGGACAAAAAACATAATCAAAGAGCTTTTTCTTTTTTGTTTACAGGTAAGACAAAAACAAAAAAAACTAAACTACCTCTATGTAGTCTTGATCTTAATGACACATAATGATCATGCTGACAGAATTAGGTTGGAATGATATGCTAAAATAATAGTACAACCTTTTTTGAATGTGGATGATGACGATGTCTCAAGTCAGGTTTGGGGTTACCTTTTACATTTCTTATTTTAATTAGTATAATTTTAGTATTTAGTAAAAGTCAAAACAATCTGAATTATTCTCATCTATAGCACAAATTTTGCAGCTAAAACGCCTTTAATACTTCTGAGCACATTTTCCATAGGTTTAGGAGTGTGTTTTATGATTTGGACCAATTAAAAGAGAGTCATCTGGTGTTATATGAGAAAAACTGGATCATAATACAGCAGATCGGTAGACCTCCTCCATATATAACTCAATCAAGCACCTCGCTTTGTGCACTCTGATAAAGCACCAATGTAAGAGGAAACGACTATGCTGAAGCAGAGTGTGTGTTTTCCTGGCTACTGGATTGCAGCTGGATTGCACTTAAGTCCAGCATTGGTGTGGTTTACCACACTGCATGATGATGATGATGATGATGATGATGTAAGAGTTTAAGACAGCTGCTCGTCATGGAAACCCATCAAATTAAACTCTTCGTATACTATTTCTTGAGCTAATCTGAAGGCCACATGGGGGTTGGAGGTCTCCATGTATGTAATGATTGTTCTGAAAGGTGGGAACCTCAGTTCATACAAAATGAATCTAAGTCTCAGCTAACCTCCTTCTGTGATTCCAAGTTGCCTACCGCCTTGTGGCTAAGTCGCTGTAATTCAGTCTCTTTGTCAAAGGACCACTCCCATTTTGTTGCAAGAAAATTTGATAACTAGAGTTTTAGCACAGATGGTAATTCTATCATGTACCATGCCCGACTTCACCGAGAGTCCCAGATAAGCTATCTTTCAGCTTCCTACTAAAAACAAATAACTAGACTGGATTTAAATTGATCTAACTCCTAGTCTTTCTATTTGTTAAATAATATTGTTCAAAGAAAATTGTGCCGACCTGTGGTATTGAACTGTTGTTTTTGTATGACTGATTCTGAGGCCGCTGGTCAGTTTAATCCCTTCTTTGATTTGTTTTCTTATTTCACAGCCATGCATTAGAATTACACCAATTTTTCAGTATGTATGAAAACTATTTGGTACTAATAGGTGGCACATTTCTCTTGGTAGTAAAATATTTTGTGGTATTAAGGGACAAATAGTCCAAAAAGTGCTTAAGTCTCAGATTATTTGACACACTGCTAGAAAGCACCAAACATCTGGTCATGTGAGGACTATAAAGGCATCCAGCAGAACTAATGTAGCTACTGGACTATATGTTAATTGACTGATAACATAATATAAACAACAATTCATCAAAGTGTCAAAAGACAAAGGTGAAAGCATATGACTTCCCCCTGTGGACCTGACATACCCCTATACCCCTGGGGTTTTATCAATCCATAACACAGCTTAAAACCAAAAGATAAATGAGACAATATTCTGCAAGCCTGAACTGGCCCAGGAAAACTCCTAAGTGCAATGCTGTTCTTCCCTAGTCTTCCCAATTCACACAAGACTGTGACAATCATTAGAGGGTGGAAGTGGACCTAAACTCCTGCTGTGGTCATTGTGCATGTGAGGGCCATCAGGAAGGTCAATCTCCTGGAGGATCCCTCTTTGCATAATGAAATATTTGACTATCAGCCATCCACTCTAGTTTACAGCTCCTTATTCATCCTTACATTTCTCTCTCTTTTGAAATACCTGTTATTGTATTGACTTATAACTAGCAAAAATAGAAAATAGAAATAAATAAAGAAAATAGAAATAAATAAAGGCTTAAAAAACTCAACATGGGGTGATTTGAAAACAAGGAAAAATCTGTATCAACTCTTCCATACAAAAGCTTTGGCCTCTGCCACTCAAATTGTTTGGATGATCTTGTGACGGATATCTGCATTAATGAGACTCGTGTGCCATCAAGCCCTAGAAGACCATGTCTGTGGGTCTTTCCTTCTGTGTCTCTGCCAGTTTCCTGCTGCCACCACATCAGTTGGTTATTAGATTAATTCATTCTGAAATTAAAACTGGTATTGTTCCTGTGTAATCAACCTTCTTGCTGTCTCAGTCCATGATGGTTCTTCCTGATCTCAGGAGACTTCTAGAGTTTTCTATAGACTGATTTGATGTCTTGCAATCATTAAACAATTGTCTTACAGATGCTTCTTACTGTGGCCATGCTTCAGGGTATTCCTCATAACCAATAGATATCCATTTATTGCCTTGCCACTTGGGTTCTCAGTGATTTTCCATCACATCTACCAGCTTTTACCTTCTGACCATAGCCCTGTCAGATTCCTTGCCCTCCACAAATTCCTTGCCTCACACTCATACATGTAAACTTTAGAGTTTTGTTTTATTCTTATTGTCAAAAAAAGGCTTAAGCCAATAAGAAGGTCACACGGACTCAAGATGTGTTGTTTTTGTTGCCTCAAGCTTTCTAATCACTGCCTCCAATGAGTCAGGGACAGAATATGTATGCAGTGAACCTGTTCTCATAGTTAACTACATGCAAAAAATAAAAAAATAAAAAATTCAAGGGTATGAATACTTTTTTTAAGGGACTATATTCAAAAATAATCTGAACAGATACTTATCAACAAACAATAAAGCTAAATTCCCTTGGGGAAGAAATTTGCGGTAAACCAGACGGCAAACCAGACGATACAAAACTGCATCAGCACATCAGATAAATCTAACAGACCAGAGGGTTCATCTCATGCTGAATATTATTAAAGGCACCCAAGTAGTGGAAAAAACAGGATCCTAGATGAGCTTGTCCAGGGTGGAGTAAGTCCCTCTGAAGCAATTGATTGCATCATTGAGACCAACTATTGGAGGTTAAATCCATCAATCCAGTCCACGCCTATTCTCCACCTCTTTTTGTGCCTGCTTCTTTGGATGGTTGACTCTTTATTTGTTACAAAATGTTTTCGTTTTTGTCCTCTCTATTGGTCTTTTTCTCCTAAAGCTTCAACACACAAACAAAAGCTAAGGCAAGGCAAGCTTGGCACATTTATTTCACAAGTAAAACAATAAAATAGCTGGAAAGTAAAAGCAGAATAAAAGCAATAAAGATACAAACATGATCATCTGTAGAATAGATCAAATTGGACATATAAGAAGTTTTTTTTTTTACATCAATATTATGCTTTCTACCAAAAACTAAAAGATTTATCAATTAATGTTTTTTTTTTTTGTTTGTTTTTGTATTTTTTTGTAAACAAATGTCCTTAAATTAGCTTTAGGCAACAGATTATATAAGAAGGAGGATTAGAAGTGAGCACGTTCCTTTACCTCCCACTGAGCCGATCTCATGATTTCTGCATGACCAGGCTTTGGGTCTGACCTGTGGGCGCGCAGCAGCCACGGTGGGCGGCATCGGGGCCACCAGCAGCCGGACAGAGCCTCCATTCACCCGGCAGCCTTTCATTTTGCCGCCACCCCATCTTTAACCTTATTTGCATATTGAATTGTAAACACGTTAACCAAAGCACGTCTGCCTGATGTCTTTTTTTTTTTTTTCATCTTTCGGAGAAAGCGCATCATGGCAGTGATGCCATGCGTGCGTAAAGACGCAAACGTGCTGTTAAGCGCGTTCTGCTCGGTATAAAACCTACACAGACAGGAATAGAGAGTAAAGAGCAGTCAACGCAAACACATGTGGAAATAATTTCTTTAATGGAAGCACAATTAATTGGAGGATCACTTTAAACGTAAATAACTGTTTTTTTTCTATTTATTTATATATTTTTTATTATAAGATTATGTTTATAGCCTTAAGGAAATAGAAAATAAGTAAGTTAATAGCATGATCAAATCATGATAGTTATACAATGATGTTATTGTGATAAATTAGCCTACAGTTTATACGGGAAAGGTTATGTAAAGAGGTAAAGTTTTGATGGTTTCATAAAGTGGTAGAGTTGAGTGGGAGAGTCAAAGCGGAAGAGAAGGGAGGGGTTTAAGTTTGGGTGAGTGCTTCATCAAGCATCCCAGTGCATTAGGCGTGTGGTGTTCTGAGGTAATAGATGAACTTCTCCTTAAAATTCATTCACGACTGAGAAAACTGATTTTTTTTATTTGCTTTTGTTTTTCTTTAATAAATTCTCTGAACATTGTTTAGTTTTTTTATTTGTCATCCTTAATTTCAGGTTGCCCTGGAGACGGTCTGTCAAGAAAAGTTAGTTCATTAAGGAATTAGAGACACCTAACTCCCAAGAGTCCCAGAAGTCTTCATCCTTTCAACTTTTATTAAGGAGCAGATTTGAAGATGCAGCAGCTGGAGGATGATAAGGTAAACAAAACCTTTCTTATCTGCATTTTATTAAACTAGAATTTAATGGTATCCATTCAACAGTAATGCTCTTTGAAATTGGTTGGAGCTTATGGGTAGTAGATCTCCAGGTTCCAATACTACTGTATTTTTCCACTAAGGAAGTCCGGATAAGACTTTAGCACTTCAGCAGATGACTAAGAGAGGGGGGAAAAAATAAGGCAGTATTGTTGGAGGGTGGCAAGTTGGGACCTGTGCATCCTTTAGTATCCTGCATTTTATGAGAAGAGGGAAGAGGGCGGAGTAGAAAGACTGCAAACTCCAGGAAATGGAGACCAACTGCATGCTGGATATATTAGACATATTTGTAAATGTCAGCATGATATTTTGAAAGAATGATTAAAATTATCATGATTGAAGCACCTTGTGATATTTGCCCCCCAGAATTAAACAGATATTAGTTATATGATCTAGGTGCTTTTATTTAAAAATGAAACAATGTATTCATTTCAACTGAAGCTCATATAGGTTATTACACCTATTTGTAGTTAATAGAGGCGTGGACTTGAGTCAGAAGTTTACTTACTTTGAAACCAGTTTGATGAAATCACAAAACACTAAAAAACTCAACTTGAAATTTAACACTAGGCACTGGTGATTTCACTTCGACTTGAGCCTTTTCACTCACCGTTAGCTAACGTAGCGTGCTAAACATGTGGCTCCAAAATACCATTCAGAGGTATTTTAAAGTATCAAGAAGATTAGAACTCAAATTTTGGTCTTGACTCCAGAAAAGCCCATTTTAAATTTGGATTTGACCTTGACCTTGAATGCCTTTACTCAGGAATTGTCTCTATGCATCAGTGCACAAAACCTAGACCTACCTATTAATTACAGATAAGCCACTTTATGCTGACTGCACTGATTGTTTTAAATGTGCTCATTGTGCAGAATATCATTCTTTTATTTTATTGGTCTTGAGTAACAGTAGTATAAACAGTTGATCTTACCAGCCTTTTTAGTTATCCTGCTGGAACAGCCAGCTTTACCTTTACCCTGATATGAACGGAGTGGTTTTTGGACTGAATGTATAGAACACCTTTCTAATCATAGAAAACACTCAAAGCCCTGAAAGCAAGGATCACATTGATCCATTCGCCCTCACACTTTAAGACATTCCTATACACCCTACAGATTAGTGGGTATTTTTCCCTTTTTTGCATAACCTTTACTGTCCTTAGTTTTACTAACATTTACAAACAGCCAAATATAACTTTTTTTTTAGAGCTAGAGGTTAGTGGCTTTATCCTAGCCAGCTGAATGGCAGCAACAAGTCGGGGAGGGGTAACATTGTTCTAGTTTATAAATGTTATATTTTGTTGTCTGGAAGCTGACCTTTTATAAACTTTGCTACAAGATAGCAATGAGCTATTTCTAAAAGTGTCCTGATGAATGAGACAGGGTGTGACTAAATACACTTTATGAAGAAACAAATGAACAGTTTGCATTCTTAGTAAAAACTGACACCTTTGCAAAGCTTAGATGTGGTTGGTCTTTTGTAAGCAGTTGCTCCATTTGCTTGGATGTTGCCTAAGTTTTTTGCTTCATATGTGACGGAAAAACTAGGTGCAAGACGATACGAATGTGGAAGTTAACTGTTAGTAAGAAAATAAGGTGTGATTCTCTGTGACCTTGGATAACTAAATTATATTACTATGAAATAAAAAAAAAAGAAAGTTAACCAAACATAAATTGGAAAAGCACGGCTTTTACACATGATGTTCAATGCATATCCTTTTTTAAGTCTAATAACCCACGTCACATAATGAAAACATATTTTTGTAAAATATTCCAGGATAGTTCGATTTCATAAAAAGTTTTCATGTGAGTTGGATCCAGATGTTGTGCAAAACCACATGTATTTGTTGCTAATCTTCACTCCATGTGTGAAAACAGACAAGAAGACTGTTGACTGCATGTCTATGCAAAAACAAGCCCAGAAACATGTCCATACAACCCTTAGCCAGCCGTGGAATGATCATATGACACTGCTGCTTTTTGCACTAATGGCAACTCCCTGTTTTTAGCAGTATGTTTACTACAAAAGTAGTTTAATTTCCATTATTCTATTAATAGGTTTTTGTGTGAAAGCAACAGAGAGCAAAATGATCCAAGTTTAACATTATTTAACATCAGAGTGTGAAATTTAAAAAGTGTGGTATGCCACGAAAATAAGCAATGCCACTGTTGATGTTTTCTTTTTTTCTCTATTATCAATGATTTGAAATTATGTAAAAAAAAAAATAAAAATTCAGGATTTCCTGTTTTTTGCTAGCTCACTCTGACTCAGTTGCAGCTTTGCGATAAGCTACGGCCATCTGATGCAAGCAGCTGCAAACATAATGTTCCAAAAGACTATTACTGTAATGCCGTTTTAAAATCAGAACAGAACAGAGGCTTCTCTAGTAAAAGGGAAGAAAAAGAAGAGATAAGTGGCCTACAACATGTAAGAACAGACTGTTTTTTTTCAGAGCTTCATTTTGTTCGGAAAAAGGCATGTAGTGAACTCTAATAATGTTTCAGGACTGATTTACGTAACCTGCGTGGAAAGAGATATGATGAAAGACAGAACAGGGCTTTCTGTGCTCATTTTGGTCGACTTGCCTTAATGTGAGCATGGGAACCAATTAAACAAAACAATGTAAACAATGAATCAGCTTTTTTGTGTGTTATGTCAGCGGCAGTGGGAACAGAGCGGAAAAAAAATAATTTCTGTTCGTTAATGAGGCTTTTTGGTTGGCAAACGTTATCTATTTGACTCGCCCCACAACCCATTAGGATCTCAGTGATTTTGTTATTTGAAAGGCATGTGGTGAGTCAAAAGTGAAAAGTCAAAGTGAAACCTTTTATGAATGCTACCTTCATAAAGCATGTTCCAAACCACAACTTCATAACACCTGGATTCAGTTCTTCTTCTCTATGTTTAATGTCATATTATGTAAAAGTGTTATCCTATATGCCATGTATAGAACTATGCTAGAGTTCACCAGATTTAATATTTAAATGTATTATTATACATACCTGGTCTTTTGTAAAAATGTGATTATTTTGGATGATCAGATGTAGCTAAACAAGTTAAGCAGGACCTTTCTATTTTGGCTGAGTGGTGCAAACACCCTGCAGTTACATAAATATGCAGCAAAAAAGTATACAACACAATATTGAGGCTTACAAGCTGAAACAAAATTCATACAAACCGCATGCAATGAGAAAACCATGCAAAAAGGAATGCTGCAAACACAGACAACAGGGAGAGGCAAAGTGCATTGATAAAAATGCATGCACGGATGACGTCATACATGCACCACTTTGTTTAAAAAATATATAAATATAAAAAATATAACTGAGGATGTCTGGGGGATAGTGATTGGCCTACATGTTATGAATGCTGGCGTACCATAAAGAATAAATTATGAACAGTTTAGTTTGTGCCTTCCAGTCGTTTGCCCAAAGTAAGACGTTACTTGGATATAACCTAACAGAATATCTTCAGAACAGCTCCAAATGACACAAAACTCATATGGGTGAGTAGAACATGATGTAATAACGTAAAACCAAGGGCCAAATGTAAAAAAAAAGTTGTTTTTCTTTTACTTGTATTTGTTTTTTCTGTTTGCAGCATCTTTTCTTTGTGTTTTAACTCTGGGGTTTGTGTTTGCAGCATGTTTGCACTTTGCTGCTACCTATTTTTTGTGATTGCAACATTTATCCTTTGCAGCAATTTGCATTTGCATATATTTGTGTCTTTTATTTTTACTTGCAAGCCTTTTCTGTCCTTGCAGTCCTTACCATGCATTTATATCGCATTTGCATCCCTTGTTCATTGTATCTTCCTGGCAACATGAAGTAGGCTCTAATATCTTAAAAAGCAACACATCTGGGCCTAATATGAAGAATATCAATAACCAAAACCACACACATTTGTGTTTATTAGTCTGGAATGCATTACAAGGCCTTTGGGACCTTTAAACCACAATGAGAGTCATTTACTGCAAAAGCATAATACATGGAACAGTTGTTGCATCACATTAAGATAATTTTGTCAAAATGTAACATTAAAGAGGTTTGGCAAATGTTGTATCTATGGGAGAGCTGCAAGGTAAAACAGACTGCTAACTAAGAAGAAATAAAAGCCCATTGTAATATAAACATTTGATCATCCCCAGCTCTACAGTTTTATCATCAACATTTGGGAAATCTTCTGAGGTCTGGTCTGTTTCTGGCCTGGGGTTGTTTGCTTCTTTAGGAGCTGCACTGTATACTGTATGGTTGGAGAGATTTATTTCGCTCTCCAGCATAGGTTCCGGAAGAATGCCAATCATTTAGGGCTAAAACAATTAATCTGATTAATGGTGATTAATATGTTATAGTAATAATTGTTAACTAATTTAGTAATCGATTAATCATTAACTGTAGTAAAGAGACTGTAAAACATGGCTTTAGCTGACAGAGCGACCAGCTTAGATCAATTATTATATCAAAATTATTAAAACATTTGTAAATATTTTGCATTAAACATTAACAAAACTTTTTCGTCTGTCAATATGTTCAATCCTGAACTGTTCAAGGGGAAACATTTTAATTTCACCTGGTTTAATTTAGAAAAAAAATATTTCTTTAAGGAACCTTTAACTATACAACTATTAATCGATTAATGAAAAAATAATCGACAGATTAATCTATTTGCAAAATAATCGTTAGTTGCAGCCCTACCTTTATTACATTTTTAGCTTTAAACTCAAGAGCCTTTGGATTACACCACAGTGCAAAGAGCTAAAGCATGCCAGCAAGTCGACATCTAAGAGCCTAAAAGAAAAAAAAGAAAGGATTTGAGTTTTGCTACTAAATCCCTTAATCAAAGGCTCTAATCTGACTGATTTTGCTGTAGCATTTACTTCAACATGCTGTTCATACTAGAAGCCTCCAATATAGTTGGTTTAAAACAAGGCAGCATAAAATAGATTGATTTCATTTGTTCAACCGACAGTTTATGTCCTGTAAGGTGTTTGTATCCAGCAACTTTCAGGCCCAACATACAAATCAAATGGCTTAATTACCTCTCAGTTAGAGTCAAGTTCCCCAGAAGGACCTAATTATTTGATTCCGGTGTTTTTAAAGCAGAGAAGCAATTAAAAGTTGCAGGACACCGGCCCGCAAAGACAGGATTCCCACATTACTTGTCTAGATACTTTTTTTTTTTTTTACTTATATTATTTTTCTCTGATATTAGTTTGCACGGAGAGCTAAAACATCGGAAGCAACCTTAAAAAAAAATAAAATAACAGGAAAAATTCTGTAATGGTGGAAATACTTTGTCACAGCTCAGTAATATGCAGGTTAATTACCCAGTTATGAAAAAGCTGAGGCTATTTAATTCCTGAGCCAGCAGGAGAAAATATTCAGTAAAGGAATTATGTTCTCAGAGGCTCTTTAGCTCCTTTTCTGAGAAATACCTCTCAGCCACAAATCAGGGGACTCGTGCAGCGTGGTAACACCTGCTTTCAGAGCCTAGTCTGCAGCTGCTAATGTGCTGATCTGAAAACAAGAGGGAGAGCATTTGCAGAAAAGCCTCATTGTATGTAATTACCAGTGTTCGTGTAAACAAGCAGAGCTTTGTTTTTAGCTTGGAATGGAACACATCCAGCATTGAAAGCCAGGGAGCCAATTGTACACAAGCTCCATCAGCTTACTACATCTGCCTGTCATAACGAGCTATGTTTTTACATCCAAACAGCCCAAGAAGAAGATTACACCCTACCTCCTTTACTGTGTCGCAACAGCTGTCATTGGTTCGCTGCAGTTTGGATACAACACAGGAGTCATCAATGCACCTGAACAGGTGTGTAAGCGTGAGACTATGCATTTCTATTATTAATCTCTTTCTGGTATCATCTGTGCTTGTTTGGTCACAGGGACATGAATAATAATTGTGGTACAGAAAATGTGCCTTGTTTATGTAGCCAAAGAATCCATGTTGGTGATGGTTAGGTCTACTTTGCCCCCTTGTGGACACTTTAAAAAAATGTTTGCTGTAAAAAACTGACCTTTTTCTTGTGCTTTTTGTCCAGAAATTACGAGTGTTTTTCCAGAATGTATCGAGTGAACGTTATGGGGAGCCTTTTTCCCCAGGAGCCACCACCATGGTGTGGAGCTTTGCTGTGGCCATCTTCAGTGTGGGCGGCATGATTGGGTCATTCTCTGTTGGAAGCATGGTTACCAAGTTTGGCAGGTGGGAAGATAATAAATATTTGCACTTTGTTTATTTTGTTAGAGTGAAATGCGTTTATAGGTGCATATCAGTACATTAAGACAAATTACACACACAGTGATAGATTTAAAGTGTTTATTTTTTCTGTGAAGATCACCTGTATCAAACTCAAGCCCTCCATAGCCAGTGTGTTTGATTTTTTTTAGCTGTATCTCTGCTTTAACACACCTGAATGAAATAATAATTAAGTCATTAGCAGGACTCTAGAGAGCTTGGCTCCATCTGAATCAGGCAAATCGGTTAGGAAACATTAAGAATGAGCGGAAGTTGGTCATAATAATTGCTATCGGATTAGTGCTGGCAGTTAGGAAGGAGCTTGGAAGAGGAAGCAGGGGGCGACTCAGCTGAAGGTAGACACACACACACACATGAATGACGCTGGTTAAACTGGGACCACAGTCTTCCGGAAATTAATAAGAAAAAAAAGTGACACAAATGTAGATAACGGGTGAAACTCTGTTGTAAAATCCATGTCAAACCTCCTAGTGGTGGCTAGGGACATCAGGAGGTTCCTATGCTAACTGTATCAGCATTAGGAAGCATACTGTTTCCTTGTCCTAGTTCCTTCCCTAGTGCCAGCACTATTCAGATAGCACCTGGCACTCAAACACATACTTCCAGTGTAGCTTATGTGTCCTTTCTGATTTGAGGCATTCAGATCAAGCCATTGAGTGCATGCTGTGGAGGTTGTTCAGCCATTTAATTCAGGTGTAATGAACCAAAAACATATCTAAAGTTGCAGGATAGGTGCTCAGTTTGACTAGCCTGACATAGTCCGACTCAATTCTAGTCAGAATATGAGTCTGATACTGCTCCATAGAGCTGTGATTATGGGGCGTGTTTTGAACGGACCAGGAAAAAAAATGCCTCTGCACTCAATTGGATAGACCTACAACCAATAAGAGCAACGGAGTGCGTGACGTATGTTAAGCCACGCATAGTTGTTGTCAACAAAAATCAAAGCGTGCAGTTGCGCGCCCAGAATAAGAAGATGAGCTTTGATCACGTTTCTCTTTTCCTCTTTTAAAATTAAATTGCTGTCGATATCTTCTAGAACAGACCTAATAGCAGAATCTACTCACCTCAACTCTCCGGCGGCAGCCATTGTTGTTGTCGCCCAAGCGCGCTTTGGTCACGTGGTTGATTACGTTACTGTTGATCATCTGTCCATCATCGTATATAGCCCGCCCTGACAATTTGATTGGATCGCCAGAGGGTGGGCGATCATACTCGCGCTACTATGGAGCAGAGCCAGACCGAACTTCCCGACCTCAAACCTTGTGGGCGGGACTAAGTTCGGAATGGCACCCAGGCTACAGTTTGACACCCCTGATTATATTAGATGATTATTTTACAGACAGTAATTTGATCTAAATCTGAATTTCACATACATAGCTTTTTAATAAAGGATTTTAAATGCTGGATATTCAATTATGCAATAATCTTGTTATGGTCTCCACAGTCATTAGGGAAACTGCTAAGGTGACATCCATTTTGTAGACAGTCTTGATTTTCCAGATGAAGATTAATCCAATAAATGATTGTTGATTTAGAAGCTGGCTGTTCAGAGTACAATATCCTAATTTATTTCTGGAAAGTTAAGTGGAAGGAAAATAATAGGTAAGGAAAGGTGCACAGGATCCAGGAACTCACATAGCTTGGAACATTACTGTAGAAATAGAACTGAGATGCTGCTCAGCGGTCCAATGTCGTTTCAGAATAAAGTAAAGATTGCATATTATATGGAACTTAAGGTCCCAGAGACTGAAGAAACAAATATAAGTATTGAGTTTATATACTGTACAGTATATGGAAAGTAATTGTTTTTTTATTGTTCTTCTACTGTAATATTTACATTTTTGGAGTACCGGAAATACAGTTTTTCTTAGCTGTAAGCCACAACAATCTAAATGAATAGTAACAGCAACTAAATGTTTTTTTTCTATTTATGTAATAAATCTATATCATCAACTAGTTTCACTTTGTGATTCTACTGTAATTTATTTAAACAGATATGTCTGTGTCTTTTTCTGTCTTCAATTATTAGGCGAAAATCGATGGTGATCGCAAATGCCCTGGCTCTGTTGGGAGGTGCTCTGATGGGACTGTCGTCTTTGAGCCGTTCTTTTGAAATGGTCATCATAGGTCGGTTTATCATTGGTGTTTTCTGTGGACTCTGCACTGGTCTGACCCCCATGTACGTTGGCGAGATCTCTCCCACCGCCGTCCGAGGAGCCTTCGGCACACTGCACCAGCTAGGTGTTGTGATTGGCATCCTGGTGGCTCAGGTAAAAGCCTCTCTTCTTGTATGAGCTTTATAGAAGGCTTATGTTCTCTGTAACCAACATTTATATGTGATTAGGGAGAAAATGACTTTGAACTACGTAGAATTAGAGTTTTACCACCAATTTAAGGATTTCAATAGGACTTCATGCACCTGGTCACTCAAAATTGTTCATATTTCACACAAATCAAAAGGTAAATGATAACAGATTTTTCTCAACGTGTAACAACAGGAAAACTTAAAAGTTCCTGTCCTTGTAGAGATGCCCACAGCATAATGCTGCACCCACTATGCTTCACAGTGAAACAAGTGTGTTTCAGGGTGATGTTTAGTATTTTCTTTTTTGAAAAGACTTGGATTCTGTTGCACTTAATTTGGGATTATCAGAGTAAAGACGGCTGGATATAAATGTGCACCACACCTCAGATTTTATTTTTGAACAAAAATATTTTAATATGGTGTAATGTTTCTTCAACTACACAGTTAATGACCCTCCAATAAAATACATTGAAGTTTAGAACGTTGTGAATACTTTTAGTTTAATATTGGTTGTTGTGCAGATAAGTATGCAAATCTATTCACATGAAGGGACCAGGATAAAGAAGAAAAAAAAAAGAGAAATACCATCCAAGTGAAGATTTCACTTTAATTAAGGCTTTGTGCTAAAAAACAGCTATAATGATGATTTTTGCTAAATAATTTGTTCCTAAGGTAATTATATAATTTTAGCCAACTTAAATATATGTTTTCTTTTTCTTTGTGTTTCAGATCTTTGGCCTGGAGTCTGTTCTGGGATCAGATGATTTGTGGCCTGTGCTGCTCGCCCTGACCATCCTGCCGGCCTTGCTGCAGAGCATCATGCTGCCTTTTTGCCCCGAAAGCCCTCGCTACCTCCTGATTGTCCTTAACAAAGAAGAGGAGGCCAGAAAAGGTCTGTTTTTACTCTGTTCCTTTAGCTTTCACTCTTTAAGATGAAACCTGCAGCAACCTTAAAAGTTTATGATTATATACTGTACACCAACTTCACCTGCTTCCTGCTACAGCTCTGGAGCGTCTGCGTGGCACTGAAGACGTGCACGACGACATTCAGGAGATGAAAGAGGAGGGCATGAAGATGGCCATGGAGAAGAAGGTGACTGTGCTCGAACTCTTCCGCTCACGAAACTACCGCCAGCCGATCATCATCGCCATCATCTTGCAGCTCTCCCAGCAGCTGTCAGGCATCAACGCTGTGAGTTTGCACCACATGCAGCCCAATACAAACCATTAAACACTCATTTAGCCAGACTTGACTGTTTTTCTGACAAGTACGTAACAAGAGATACCTCCAGGGACTGTTTGAGTGCACTCTGGGCAAGTGATTTATTAATGATTTTGGTGACAGGGTCACGCAACAAGGCCGTATACATTCGTCATCGCTGTCCTGACAATCTGTGTACAGGCAGTCACTGCAGTATTGATCAAACCCCAACAAGCACATTAACGTTACTGACCTAGAGTCAATAAGCAGCTTATACTCTTAACCATAATGCAGAATAACCTCATGGAAGAACTCAATACCTTGAACCCATGCATGTTTAGCTGGAAACAATGAATAAGACAAAAATATCTGGATTTAAATCACAAGTATTAGCAGTTCTTAGTCCCTCGCAGCATTACAAAACATTTATAATCTTCACTTTTACTTCTAATGAAGCTTGTTTTTAGCTGCAAGCAATGGAAAACTCAAATCCCTGTTGGGACTACCTGCAGGACATAATGGACTGTAAAAACAGGCATTCCCGCAGGAGCATGAAAGCCCCCCAAACAAGAGGACTTACTGTGATGCTCAAAGCTTAGTGACCACTTAAATCATTTTTATGGATAATTAAGGACTCAGAATTGTACGACTGTTTATTACACTCAAAGTAAAGCTAAAAGGTAAGCTGAATTCAAACATACATAAATAAAAGGTTTTAATTAGATGATAAATGCATTGATACATTTAAACAGAAAAAAATATCAGGTTGATTTAGAATTCTTTTAAAATAGAAAACTAAAGCTTTTATTTATCTCTTAAGGAATCTCTCGGTTCTAATCCACAACCCTCTGTTGGCTGTAAATATAACATGAAACCGAGCTCAATTTCTCTTAACTACTCTATAAAATAGTAACAAACAAAGCTCCTCATATAAACTTGTCCTCACTGACAGTAGAATCAAAAATTAAATACTTAAAATTGAAACAGTGACAAACGAGGCTAAGGAAATATCTAAACTAATGTTAGGACAGCTTAAACTTTTCCAAAGCTCACCAAGTCTCAGCAAATATCCCTGGTAGGTTGGTTACTCAGTAAAGGATGAATTTGAGGAAAGTCAGCCCCAGTTAAATTAAATTAAATTTAATTTATTTATATTGTGCCAAAAGGTCATTTCAAGGCACATTACTATTCAACCAGATCATACAATCAAATTGATTTAAAGTTTTCTATCTAAGGAAAACCAGTTGATTGCATCAACTCAGTGACTTAAAGGCAATCCCTCACAGCAAGCATGCTTGTAGTGATAGTGGAAAGGAAAACTCCCTTTTAACAGGAACAAAACCTCCAGCAGAACCAGGCGCAGGGTGACCTGCCATCTGCTGAGGCCGACCGGGGTTCAGGAAGACAGAAGCAGATATACAGAAAGAACCACAGATACTGCTGCTGTCAACCAGCTCCACAGGAGGCCCCGTCTAGGAAACACACAGCCAGGCAGACGAGCTCCGAGCCAGCTCCCATGGTAGAGGATGAAGAGAACATATCCAGCCAGTCACAGTCAGAGAAACAGGACAACACTGAAAAACAGGCTGAGCTCGAACATCTATAAACAAAGGTGTTGATGGAAGCAGCACAGCTGATATTTCTCTCCAGGACAAAGGGGCCCTATGTCCTCAAGCAGTCTTTAGCAGCATAACTATAGAGATGCTCAGGATAACCTGAGCCACTCTAACTATAAGCTTTATCAAAAAGGAAAGTTTTAAGCCTACCCTTAAAAGTAGAGAGAATGTCTGCCTCAAGGATTAAAACTGGTAGTTGGAGCCTGATAACTAAATGATCTGCCTCCCATTCTACTTTTAGAAATACTAGGAACCACTAGTAAACCTGCAGATTGAGAGTGAAGTGCTCTTTTAGGAACATAAGGAACAATTCCCTGTTAAATAACTTCATACTAGCTACAATAAAAATAAATCAAGGCGTTTTTAGCCTTTGAAATTCGAAACAAAGTATAGAATTCTAATTAGAACATAGAACACATGAAATGGATCATAAACGTACAAACGTCTAATATGCCTTAGTCGTATAGACTTTTGTGATCTGCTAGTTCGAAGCAAATTCATGATTCTTCGGGGCTTTTCCTCCTAAAGATCTAAGGAAATGTGTTAGAGCATGGAGCTTTATAAACACTTAAAAAAACAACAAAAAGGAAATCTTGACTAAAATCTGGTGAAATCAACCAGAAAACAATAAAATGGGTGGTCATTTTGTCTGGAAAACGGGGACCAAGCCAAACCTAAAGAGTTAATTATTGGAAATTGTTGCAAAGAATTTATATTTATCAGTATTTCTATGATTTATAAATGACAGTTTATTCCTAAGACTTTTTCAATATTAACACCTTTGATGCATCTACCCTTTATCAAATAAAACCACCCCTCACCAATTTAATAACCTGTTTTTCAGGTTTTCTACTACTCTACAGGCATTTTTAAAACCGCTGGTATCTCTCAGCCCATCTATGCCACCATCGGGGCTGGTGTGGTCAACACTGTCTTCACTGTTGTCTCTGTAAGTATCTATACTGCTAATTCAGTTCTTATTTTCTGTTTGCTGACTGCTAACTGATCAGCCTTGCTTTCTGTGCTTCAGCTGTTCCTTGTTGAGCGAGCAGGAAGAAGGACTCTGCACCTCATCGGACTGGCAGGGATGGCCATCACTGCCCTTCTTATGACCATCTCTCTCTCTTTAGTGGTGAGCTAGATTCATGCATTGAGTTTTTCAGCTGCTTCCACGTTGTTCTTTTATTCTAAGCTGTTTTAATCCTTTTCCCATGCAGAACAAAAACGAGAATCTGAGTTATCTGGCTATGGTGGCCGTGTTCGGCTTTGTCGCCAGCTTTGAAATGGGTCCGGGTCCCATCCCCTGGTTCATTGTAGCTGAGCTCTTCTCTCAGGGGCCTCGACCTGCTGCCATGGCTGTCGCTGGTTGTTCTAACTGGACCGCCAACTTTTTGGTGGGGCTGGGATTCCCTAAACTGGAGGTACATTTCCTCACACTACCAGAAATACATGAATCAAATAGTAGCTCATGACACATAAAAAGTGTAAAAGTTAATTTAAATACTTTGGCAAGATGCTGTAATTTAACACACAACTTCCAGTTCACTTCATGAAAAATAACCTTCTTTCAGGAAATCTGTGGCCCGTACGTCTTCCTCATCTTTATGGTCCTCCTCATCCTTTTCTTCATCTTCACTTACCTGCGAGTCCCTGAGACAAAAGGACGGACCTTTGATGAAATTGAGCAGGGATTCGCCGCCAAACCTGTCGATTCCACGGTCCCTGATGCTGTGTGCATCAGCAAACCCGAGACCCAGGATCCAGCACCTTTGTCCCCCACAGAAAAAGTCCCCATGGTGGATCTACCTGTAGAGAAACAATAACTGAAATTGAGGATTCACGGACTGCAGCTTCTTTCTGTAAGAATGAAGCCGCTAAAAAATAGTTTATAGGTCCAAATGTTACAATTTTTAATTTTTTTATACAGTGTTTTGCCCATATAATATAGTATTAAATATAAAGAAAAACAATTTTAATCCTGACCAAACTTGATTAATTGTGCCACATAAAAGGATCATTGTATGTTCAAATTTTCAGCTGCCTTCAGCATTCAAAGGTTACAGGCTTAAGGGGGTTAATATATTGAGGTCAAGAATCTAAAGTTAGTGTGACAAAGGCATTTCGGTCTCCACAGGAGTCAATAAAATACTATTTTTGCAGGGCAGGGGAAGCACAGGAGACCACAAAGGAGCCACTGCAAGAAGACCCACTTTGAGCATAAAAAGTTGTCCCTTATTATACACAGAGGACATATTTTTAAGCACATAAAGAACGGATTTATCCCAACTGTTGGTGATACCTCATGACAGGCTTTTCCTTTATTTATGAGGTTTTAAATTTAGCTTTTTTCTGAATTTGTGCCGATAAAGCAATGTAAGAACCTATGTGCAGGGTGCTTTTATTCAATATAAGGCTTTCTTTTTATTTAAGCAAAAAAAAAAAAAACCTCTTCAGGTTAAGGATTTTACAACATGAACGATGACAAGAAAAAAAAAATAGAAGCCATAATCTAGTTGTTTACATCATGCACACAAAGTTAAATTAAAGTAACTCTGGTTGTAATATTTTGTAAATATTTTAGGGTTTTATTGTACTTGAAATTCTATCTACAGAAACTACTGGATCACACGCTTTAGAAATCTATAAAATTATGTTTTGTCAGTTTGAAATAATATGTTCTCATCTGTGCCGTGCATAAAAAGCGAGTCCTGCCTACTCCTAACTTAATGTACATTACATCCTGTTAAACATTAACCTCGCGAGATTATGCTGTTGGATAGAGACACTAAGTGGATTGTATTTATTACAGTGTTTTTAACGTACAAAATGTGTATTCTGATTATGTGAGATTATACATGCATATATACTGTAGACTCAAGTTCCTGCATCATGATCAGCTGCTTCAGTCTTTGCTTGAAACCAGGTCGATGTTTGTAGAGCTGCATTTCCATGTGGGTGTGCATAAACTTGGTGAAGACGCACTTTTCTTGTTTCTGCTTTGCAGTTTGCACTTCAGCTGTCACAGTCATTTCTAAAGAGATATTTATTTAGTTTGTTTGTGGTTTTATTTCTAAAATGTTTACTATATTTGTTACATTCATTCTGATTTGCTTTTAGTCTTTTTTTTTTTTTTTGCACTCTGCACAATCTGTAGACAATGCCCTGATCCTGCTTTTGTCGTCCACAATATTCACTTGAGTAATTTGTATATTTTGCTCTTTTAATACAATATTTGTGCAAATAAAGCCAGTAAGTGTCACTGCCAGGTGAGCACAGACCTTCATGTGTAAAAGGAATGTGTGACTTCCCTAATGAGTATACTCGTGTGTGTGTGTTTTTTTTCTGTGTATAGCCCCAGCTGCTGCAGTATTTAGCTGTCATAAAATATTTAATGTAACTGCTGCTCTGTAAAACTTTATTAGGACCGTCTAGTATTCATGGCTCCACACTGGGGCTGTCTCCATTTCCATTTCTTACTGTCATAAAATTTCTTTTTTTTTTTCAAGTGAGGTTCCAAGATTTTAACATTCCGTTATACATGTATAGGATAAGTGCAAATGTCTCACTGGAACTGCAACAATCAAGCTAGTTGATCAAGCTAGTTGCACTATAAAATAATATGAAAAACATAAATGTGAGTATAAAATAAATTGGACACAAAGAATTAGATATGAAAAAAAGCAGCAGATGAGGACTAAAAGCACCAAATGTAAGACTTGTTTAACATTTGACCTGCAGACAAGATCCATTACAGTTTTTTTTTAGAGGAAATGATATAAAGTGCTTAATTAGTTTGAAGTATAGCAAAATTGCGGGTTAATCATTTCAACAATAAAGCCCTAAATTATACCCAGTTGCACATTTTTTAAATTTTTTGTATGTTTGCTGTAAAGCACATATTAGATTAAATAGAGGATATTGATTTCAACATTGCACCTATAATTAGTGTAATGTTAGATATGAAGCGGATTAGCATCACTGGGCATCTAGGAAACAACACAAAAAATGCCATTATCATTTGTTAACTATTTATCAATGTTTTTTTTTGCTTAGACAAAACTTACTATGTAGTCAAAACATGTTTTTAAACAAGCGTTGGTATTTTATTTATCTTAGCATTTCAAACTGATATAATTTGTGCAAAGTTGACTCAATACAAAGTCCCAGGAGCTACTAAGCCTTTCTTTGCAACTGAAAAAAAAACAGTGTTAGAGATTTAACAATGTTACAAATTAATCTATCATGTGTCTATGGAAAATTATCGAATTTTCATTATAAAAATGTTTTTGAATTGATCAAAAATATAGCAGCTTCTTTTCTGCATTTTCCTATTAACTGCTAAACTGCTTCTTTATAATAACAGGTAAGTGTTAGAGAAGTATTTAAAAAAATTCTTAACAACCATTGCTTTATTTGTCACTGGTGTTTTAAATTCAGCTAAATATTGAAAACTTACATTTTACTATATATTCTTAGGAGTTTTTGTCTCCTTATTTCATAGATCATTTTTATATCATATTATAGAAATAAATTCAGTAATTTTTTTTCTACAATCCTGTTTAAATTACTAATTTTACTGAGTGAAGCAAACGTGCTTGAAACTAAAAATTTGAAATAGCTTTGGTCCATTTTTATATATCATTTGTAAAAGAAATAAATGTCCTGAATTCATTTTTTGAAATACGACGTAACTCAGGTGAAGACATTTTACTGATTTTATCAACCAAATTCTAGACAGTCTCATGTTTAGTTCACGCTCTCAGCAAAAGAATTATATTAAAACGCATTTTATGGTATCATTTTNAGAATTATATTAAAACGCATTTTATGGTATCATTTTAATCAGAAGCAAATGTATAAACCAAGGTGTGAGGCTAATTAGCTTCAACCGTCAATAAAGGATCATGTTTTTAGACTGTGGGAAGGATCCAGGTTGCCTGGACAGAACCCATGGATGGATACACATGAAGAACATGCAAACTCTAAGCTGAAGGACCCAAGACTTCCAGTCTTGGGTCTGACTGGAAGATCCATGCCCAATGTGCAGACCGAAGTTTGATTCAATAACATTTGTAATTAATTTATTAATCTTATGGCACCTTTAAAAAATGAAAAGGAAATATAATCACAGACTTTTTTGCTTTTACAGCTGTTCTGATATTTTCCCCACCCATCTTGCCCTCAGAGCTGCAGCCCGCTGGATCATACTGTATAGCTTGGGTTCAGACCCCCCTGGCTTGCTGGGAATTGGGCCATCTAACTGTGTCAAACCAACGAGCTGCATCTTCAAAGTAAGAGGCCACGGTGGTCTGACGGATCACAGTGAACTGGAGCATGAAAACCCATCAACACGCTGCAATTCTGCAGGCTGTCCAGTGAGGGGCACCAGCATGTTTATTATGGTGTGTATGTGGATGTTTTAATGCATACAGTCTGGGTGATCTGTCTTGAGAGGTTAGGAGTGTGTCTGAGAGGCATAAACAGAGGAGGCTGTTTGGAGGAGAGAACTACAAAAAGTACATGGAAAGTATCAAAATGGCTTCTGATATGTTTTTATTTTTTCCCTACAAAGTTGAAATAATAAAAAAAGACAGATAAATAAAGGAAGTTTTGAACTCCCACATGCCACAGCTGTTTGCACATAGTCCAGATGTGTGAGGGATGCTTTCCGGGTGGCATTGTAGAAGCCCTGAAATGGATGTTAAACATGTCATGACAGCGGCTTCCTAAAAACCGGACAAACTCGTATTCATCCTTTCCAGTCTGGCAGACAGGGGAAATAACTTTTTCTCTTCTCCTCTCTCTGTTTCTGATGTCTTCATCTCCTCCTCCTCCCGTCTTGCTCTGCAACAGCAATGTTTTGCTGCTCTGTAAATATTTTCTTTGCTCCCTCCTTCATCCATTTATCCACTAACACCACCCTCCCTCCATCTTTTCTCCCTCCTTTTTTCTCTCAGAGAAAAAGGATCAAGCAGACTCCTCCCCCTCCTCCTCCCTCCCTGTCACCCACTCCATCTCCCTCTGCCTCTCTCTTTTTCATGCTGCTCTCCCTTCCTCTCTGTCTGTCAGTGTCATTCTGAACTGGAGATGTGGAGTGTCTTTCTGTCTCTCTGCCTTTTCTTCCAGCCCAATTCAGCTGAGGAAGGTAAGAGATTAACTTTTTCTTCAGATTTGTGCATGCTGAAGCCCATGATCCTCTCATCATGAGCTTGTAATCAGCATTAATCTTCTACGGTTATGATGACATCTATGAATAAATAAGACTTTTTCAGTGTGTGAAACTATGCCACGTGGGAGCTATGTGCCTCACCTGAACAATTATCAGAATTTTACCTTCTTGTGTCTTTTCACTACTCTCTGTGAATATGCATGTGCAGATACTTTAAAGTGGCAGCAGATCAGACAGGACTTTGTTGGCATGGAGGTGCCAGGTGTCCTGGTGCAGCGTCGGGTCCCATCAAGCTCTGACAACAAAAGGATATGGAAATAAGGCGGGGGAATAAGTGAATAATATACGTTGCATAATCCATTTTTCTTTGCCTTTGGGCGCATGAAGCCACCACCGTTCTCCAAGCCCACGCCTAACCCCCCCATGTCACTCATGATCTCTCAGATGTGACTACCCAAGACCCCTACCCCCCACCTCCAAGACTGGTCTTTCACCAACGGGTATTTTTCAACGACTCCTACTGCTGTGCTAAATGGGAGCATTAGGAGTCTTAAAAAGCGCAGAAGTGAGTGAAAATGATGGACACTTAAGCGAGACTTTATCCGTAAAGTGGTCTGTCAGAGCAGAGTGGGGTGATTCAAGAAAGCTGTGATCATCTGATGACTCAAACTGTCTTAATGTTGCACAAAAGTGTGTGCATGCACGAGTCTGCATGCACATAGTAATTATAAACTATCTCTACATCTCCTCTCCAACACTGAAGAGTGTGTTGGCAGTCAGCAGGCAATTTATTTTCCAAAGGTTATGGCTGTATGTTGGAAAGAGCTGCACCTGTTCGCACTCATATCCCTGTGGCTTTACGGAGCAGTCTGAGTCAGTTTAACAGCCTATTGCAGTGGGAACCTATATGTCAGACTCGGCTCCAGATTTGAGCCTTGTTTGTAACAGATGGCTTGGACTTAGTTGAGACAGAACAACAGCGAGGCTGTGCAGAATTACTGGTCTACTGACTCTCTTATGTCGTATCAAATGGGGGCTCCACATAATACAGTATTAACCCAGTAGCATGGATGTCCTTATAATTCCACAGAAACTGAACCATCTAGTGATATCATGAGGATGAGCAGCCGTCGCTTTGATTGGAGTCTGTGGATTTGTGTTGATTGGACTGTTGTTCTTTCTACTATGTGAAAAAGAAAAATTGTTCATATTTAACATCAATTCTACAAACTCTAACTACAAACTGTATTCAAAGGGGTGATTAGCAAATTATTGCATACCTGTACAGTAGGCTAAAGTTGAATTATGTCTAAAAGGTGTTTTTATGAACGTTTTCTATGAACCCAAATATGCTCTGTTTTAAATAGATTGCAAACATGAGGAAAGTCACCCAAAGAATAATCTGGAGGAGCAAGAGATTCATGTTTTAGGTGGACAATGCTGTTGACAAGGCAATTTACAGTTATGCACTTCTTATACAATTTTTTTTTTTTTTTTTATGAGAGAAAGGCAAATAAATAGATAGGCCATTGTTAAAAAAATAAGTCACAAGCTAATTTCTGTAGAAGTTATAGCAACCACGTGTATATATATATATATATATATATATATATACATATATATTATTGTATTTAAATGTTAATCTTATTAATTATAATAAATATCTAGAAAAAAAGATCTAAATTAACATTTAGACTAAATGAAAGGGAGCAGAAAGAAAGGTAATCTTATGTTGTCTGGCCCTAAAACAATACATTTATAAACAACTTAAATTACAAAAGGGATCAACAACAATACTAAACAAAAGCCGCCACAATGAAACAAGGTAGAAGCAGCAGAGATGGGAAACCTGTCAGCTGGGAGATGGATGGAGCTAAATGTAAAGCAGTAAGAAGAAACAAACAAACACATAATGTTAGAAACAATAATGTAAACTGTAAAAAACCTGAGATTCAACGTCCGGGTGGACAACCAACCTAAACATACAACCAGAGCTCCATTCAATTCAACTTAGCTTAGGTTATTTTGCACAAAGAAAGAAATGGTAAAAATTCTCTGCCTCTAGATGTGCAAAGCTTGTAAATATAAACTTCAAAAAGACCTGCAGCGGGAGCTGCAGTTAAAGGTGGTTCAGATGTCTGAATACAAATGCAGGTCATATTTAGAAAATTGTTATGAGTAAAAGTTGTTATTCCCCCAATTGTTTTGTTTCTACTTACGGTACAGTGAAGTTTATGCTGATTAAATGGGAAAATGACCAAAACATTTGAAGGCTGCTGCAAGGCATAAATGTGCTTTTTGCTTTGGTTTCTTGCCCCTGCAGTTATAAGAGCTTTCTGTCTTCTCCTTTGCGTGCATAAAACTAGAATAGGTGTGACTTTGGATTTTTCACCCTCACAAGTGTTGATTCACTGCTGATGGGAAGCCACAGAGCTGGGCTTTGAAATGTGAGGTGTGTGAGAGACTGTACGCTCACTCTGGATTAACACGATAAATTAAAAGGAAGAAGCCGGCGCAGGAAACAAAACACACCTGATGCCCTCCAGTGTTTCCCATCATGGGTGAGCAGAGACACGGTGATGCTCACTGACATGTGCCTGGGCAATTACTGAAAGTTATGTTGTGCTTTTAAAAGATAATAACATTTGATTCTTAATAAAGATAATTGCAGGCAAAATAGTGAAAATTCTGTTTGCAATAAAGACATTAACATTTTTTATAACTTTTATATAATTAAAGTAAAAAATATCCTTCCTATTCCTATCTTCAAGGAGTTTAAGAATGATTAAAAAGAAATTAATCAGAATACAAAATACACACAATAAAAAAACAAAAAAACAATTATGTCTTGAAAAGCTGAATGAGAAACTAGAAACTGATGTTGTTGTTAAGCAGGATTGACATAAAACTAAGAAGGGTTCAATCTCACCTTTGAAGGACAGGCATAAATCTTATCTCATAGATTTCCAAATACTTTAGAAAACAAGTTGTTAATAGTTTGCAGGCTAAAAAGGAGTTTCAGAGCCGTGGAAAACGGTCTTGAACCCTCTTTTTCAGCAGGGTCAACCTATAAATGTCATTCTAAGGAAAAGCATTAGGAAAGAACTGAGCAACAATGGCTCAAAGAATAAATCTGTGTTCTGTGAAAGAGGTTTCATTGCATCAGGGCCAACGCAGTCTGCTGCTGTTCATGCAACGATGGGTCCTGAGCTACACAAGTGAACTCTAAGGGAAAGTGCCAGGACATCTGCTCACGAACTGTATCAATGTACTAAGTGGGTCAAGCGGCAAGACAACTGCCCAAAGCTAGAGAGTCATTTTACCAGAGACCCCCTAAAGATGGATAAGGTCAAATTTTAGGAAGAAAAAAGTCAAAAGCTTGGCTCTGATTCAATGTTGGGAACAGGCCTACAGTTCTTTTCAGAAAACCCATCAGCATCACAGAACTGATGCTAAAACGACCAGAGGAAAATTCTGCAATCATTTTAGTTTGGACTCAGAGTGAACACTAAACAACAGGAAGGACTTTTGTAATCAAAAAGGAGACGTTTGGTTCCAACTTTTACTTTTTATTTGCGCTTTCAGTTTACAAAGGTGTGTTAATTTGTCACATTTAGCCCTTAATTGTTTATTATTTTATTCCAAAAGTTTTACTACCGTTATGTACATTTTTAATATATGTATTTTTATAATTAATTACTGTTTTATACTTTTCATCATTTACTTACTTATACGTTAATCACTTTATTTTTCTCTTATGCTAAATAATTAATAATTCCTAATATTTTTTTACTCAGTGTTACATTTCCACACTTTATTTATGTCTTACAAATAATTGCATTTTTCCATTATTAATGTATTATTATGCATTTATCTTTTTTATAATTTAAAATTTTAATTTCACTTATTTATCTTTTTATGTTTTTGTTCATTTATTTGTGCAAAACCCTGTTTTAAATTGGTATTTCTTAATTTAAATGTTTCTTTTTTAAATAAATTTTTTCATTTACTTTTTTTTACTAGTTTATAGTTCCTTAATTGTTTCTTTGAAATTAGATTTAGTTTTCCATTTATCAATAACCTAAAATTACATTATTGATAAAAAAAAAAAAAGCCAGCCTCTTTCTTATTAAAATTCAATTCAAAAATATTTTCTGAATCTCAAATGGAGATTAAATGTTGTAACTACTATTATAGTAGTTAAACACCCTAAAGATAAAACAAGTGGCTTCGATACAAACATGACAGGACAGTAATTTGAAGGTGTTAGGAATTAGCCTGAGAACAGAAGTAAGGTGCTTCCTAACAATAAACTTGTCTGCATGTTGACAATTCCCACTTTAGGGTCACCTGGGCCACCTATCCAGCTGTCAGCTGCTTCCAGCTCTAACCGGGTATTAATTGGACAGATTTCCCTCTCCATCCTGGGTGCCATAAGCTGCTCTTCAAGTGCACAATAATTTAGGAGAGTGTGATGAGAAAACAAACGCCACGCTTGTCGCAGACCTAATTCTGTTGGGAATAAGAGATAAAAACAAAGCAGCATCTTTATCTACCTGTGGCCTTATTTTCATATGCATTGTTGACGTTTTTTCTGTTGCGAGCACTAAAATAACATACGGTCATATTTCCTTCAAATGAATCACCTAACTGCCATTTTGCAGGTGGGGATTCTGAAGCCTCCAGGCAGCCTGTGAGACAGGCCGCTCTCTTAGGGGTTAGTTAGATAACTCTTTCATGAGGATGGAAGTTGAAGTGTGATGAGAAGAGAAAGATGAACACAAGGTTTCGACTTGCACTGAGCAGGAATGTTGTTTTAAGTTTTGGATTTCACATTGAGAGAGCTGCTGCAGCGACACACCTTCCAGACTGAGAAAAGAGTTAGAGATTATAGAAAACTGATCTTCTCTCAGAATTGCATTCCTTCAGTGCCCGACGCAAAGAAGGAGGAAACAGTGATGAAAATAGAATCTGTC